AAGTAGCCCTTAATGGAAAAATACAGATTTCCATTCAATTCCATGTACAATTAAGTACAAAATTTCTCAAAGTAAATTTGATATAGACTTCTATGCTTCTTTCTAAACTATAAATGGGGAGCAGAGAGGTGTGGAAATTACAAATGGGGAAAAAGGTGTGAATATGACCTTCTAAGGAGCAGTCCAGTATCTAAAACTTGCCTGTGGAAAAAAAACCTTTAAAAGGCCTATAGTTCGCCCTCCCACACAAAGCATGAATTCCTTAGTCGCCAACAGGTGGTCCTGCCGTCCTGCCAAAGACACAGTATTTTCCAGACAGAATACTCATTCTCTCCCAGGCCAACCCATTACCCTCCTGGATAACTCTGGCTCTGAAAATACTTTAGCTAATATTAACGGACTCTTCTTCTGGCCCTGGCTGCATCTCAGCACGGTGAGTACAAAGCTTTTTCTCGCATAAAGACCTAGAATCACAATGTGTTCAACTTGCTTTCACAAACACTCCACTCTCCCCAATTCCCATCCAAGAAGAAGACAATGAGTCTAAGACATGAAGACATCTTCACAACAGAAAGATGACTTTATTTTTATTGAAAAATTATTGAGCATAGAATCACACAACCTTAAGAGTTGAAAAGGCTTTGGAAAGCCATCTAATTCTACTTCTCGTTTATTGTAGGAGTTGCTTCAATAACATCTCTGGGCAGCACATTTGTGGCCTGGAATCTTAAGATGGGGGAGGGAGTAAGGCTCTTTGACTTGAATGTCAAGTAATTCTGAGTGCACATAGTTTAAAAAAGTTGTTAGTTGGTACACAGCTCCGGTAAGCAGCACGGTTGGACAGAATAGATCAAAAGTGATCTGCCACTGGGTTCCTTTCCATCACTTCCCTGTCTCTTGCTGCATAATTTCCCAGTTGCAAGAAAGCTAAATTTGTAACCTACTAACAATAATTTTAAATGTTTTAAAAAAGATTTGAGCTACTAAAAATACCTATTACTTTGGGGCCCGAAATTGAATAGGTTTTTCAGCTTCTAAAGATCTTTTTAAAGTATGACATAGATAGACATGGGTGTTTATTCAATCATTTACTCAACAAATAAATAGTAAGGGCCTACTCTGTGCTGGACACTGCTGGGCAGTAGGAAGACAGAGAAAGCAGAAAAGACATGGTCCCTGTTCTAAGGGAGCTTTGTTTATAGAAGAGACGGTCACCCAGAGAATCACAAAGTTTAAAAAGTGCTAGAAAGGCAAAGTACAGGATGCTATGAGAACATGTAATAGAGAAAACAACTGATCTAGCCTGGGAATTCAAAGAAGAATTTGCTGGGGAAGTGATGTTTCAGCTGAGATCTGAATGGTGGCCATTCACATTTATGTTAAAACAGGTCTCCATAAAATGAAAGGGTAAATCCAATAATCCCAGCTATCTTTGGCATCTTTATCCGAAAACAACCTCTTTTTTAAAAAGAGGAAAGCGAAGTATGCTCTAAAGAGGCTTGAAAGCTAGCAGGTGAATGTCCTTTGGGGGAGCAGGAGGGTCTTGCTCATCTCTGGAAACCCCATATCACCTTGCCTAGTAAAAATTATCATAACAGTCACTCAAATCTTTGTTGAAATTATTAGTATCAGTATTAAATCAATGTTCACATGATCTTTAGTTAAGCAAAATAAATTCACAAAATTACATCTCCTCACAGAAGAAACTTCATTCCAAACTTTGATTGTGAAAAGATGCTTTCATCTACGTTACAGGAGTGCCATCAAGATGCAGTGAGATAATATATGCAGAATGCTGGGATAAATTCTGAAATGCTTAGAGTAGATGGCATCTGTATAACCAAAAATCTTGATCCATCTCTTATTAAGACAGGTCTTTATAAGTTGTGCTTCATTTTCCTACCATGAGAAAACACTGTAACACAGGTTTGCACATGCTCTCTAGCCTTGGTTTTCTCTGCGAGGGTGAGACTGCATAAACTCTGAGGTCCCTTTGAGCTCTAGAAACTGACCTGTAAATGTTTTAAAAGGGCCAAGATTACTCTCCTGGGATTAGACTTAGACTACCTCCCCATTTACTCCACTCCCCCATGACTCCATACTTCCTCTCTCAGGAATGGCAGCACAGAGTTCATGATTTCAGTTTTTTAAGAGGCCTATTCTCACTCATTTTACATGCAGATTTAAGTTGCATATATTCATCCAAATTTGATCTTCTGAATGATCTGAAAAACTGTTGTAAAACAGTTTATATGCTCCTCCCAAAAAACTGAAGAAAATAGTCGAAATGACCAATTGTCAAAAACTGATTTATAATGCCTAACCCCAAAAAGTAAATTTTGGTTTCTGATTAAGGAAAATTATGTGCTCTGTTTTAATATCAGAAAACAGAGTCACCAAAACAATCACTTATACTCAAAAATAATAAATAAACCAATTCATTCATGGGGGAAAAAAATGTTTTAGTTACAATGGCTAGAAAAGAGTTGACATGTCCGCCATATAATGCAAATGTATCTATAAGATATTACACATGAAAATGAAATTTCACCAAAAAAATTAAAGTGCTCAAATAAATTACGCAACTAAAGGCAAATTTACATGTTTAAGATTCTGTCTTGTTCAAAATAATTTTTTGGTGTAGTTTTGAAAGTCCCCCCTAAGTTTTACCCTTCACTGACAGCATCCCACTAAAGGAGAACATTGTTGTGATGCTTTCAGGCAAGGGGCCTGTTTTTATGATGCAAACCAGGGCTGCCAGATCCAGATAAGGTTTGCTATTGGAATGCTCCAGAAATAATATACTTCCAAAGAAAACTTTTTTTAAAAAATGGTGACGCCTACACTAGTAGTTACTAGTAAATTTAGTTTTTAAGCACTTTTTAAAATTTTTTATATAAATAAAATTTAATAACTTAAAATTCTAAACTTATTTCCAGAGAAAAAGCTGATTCTTTCAGTCCTGGCACCAATGTCAAGATAGCAGCTTCTTGTTTGACAGTTACTCTTAATGCTTATTTTAACTATATTTTACATCTACTGTTTCAGGGCTTTCAAGTTCATTACAGTCATTATATTATAAATTACAACGTGTGTACTGCAGCATTTCTCTTTTTAAAGAGGTACAGGAAGAAATTAAATAACCTGTCCAAGGTCACCCAACAAGTCAGTGACAAAGTTGGGAGTAGGACTAAAACTTCAGCTCCTAGACTAATGACTTCACACTTCCCAGTTCCAAAAGAGAAAAAAGTAAAGAGATGTAGTACTTTCAGTAACAAAGCAACGTACCTCAAAGACAGTGCGTGGTACACTTATCACAAACAATAACAAAAAGATTCACCTTGAACAAATGAGACAACTTGCTACATTTAGATACCACTGTCATTCCCTAGTTTTTTTAACCAAGCAAAAATGAACTCTTCTGGCTATTAAAATTTAGAGAATATTCACTCTTCAATATGTACAATTTATTTTTACACTAACCGAACATTTATAAATTAATCTGTTACCACTTTTTCCCACGGCTAGGTGCTGTGGAGTACATTAATTTCCTCACTCTTCCAAGAGTCAAGTCAAAGACCACATATCTCAAAAGCAGTTCTCAATGAGAACAAGGTTATGTTGCCAATGAAAGAAAAGCTCTAATAAGTTGCTTCTTTTAGAGATTATTTTTAAAGGATGATTACATGCTTCACAGGATTACTGTTAAGTCGCCCTCCAAGAATGGTTCTTGTAAAGTAGCTTTTAAGGCACAGCCCTCCCTGTTTGGGACATAGTCTGACTTGTTGGACAAGACTGATCTGGGCACGCTCACACAGAGCCCTTATGAACCACCGTAGTTCACTGAAAACATCATTTCGACCTCACAACTGTGGTAAACAACCCTTCCATAACTACAAGGGACAAGATGACCCTCTTTAACAACCTCTCAGAAGGTTCCCCCGGCAGAGACAGCGACAGCAGTCCTCCCTCGGGTGCTTTTGCAAATAGCGTGTTAACACTAGCAGACAGGCTCCTAGGAAGTGTCAGTGCGGCAGCAGGTGGAGTAGCCCTCCGTGCCGAGCAGGTCCTTTCTGACCTAGCCTCAAGCCCTCCGCTTCCCAGCCCGGGTTCCGCCTTACAGACCTTCCCAAGCTGCCTGTTCTCTAACCCAGAGCAAGACTCTCAACCCTCCGAGGAGGCGAGGCAATCTAAGCAGACTAGACAGCCACCCCACCTCTTCCGGGGACTCGCAGGCCCGCTCCCTGCCCGTGTCAGAGCCCGACGGACCCTGCCAGAGGAGAGACAGAAGGCCCCTCCTGGGGCCTCCCACGCGGAACCCCGCACCCCACGGTCCCTTTCCACCGCCCCCATCCCTTCGAAACGCCACCGCCACCACCCGGCTCACTCTCGAATCCCCCTTTCCCAGGAGCACCCCAGTGGAGTTACCGGCCCACTCAAAAGTAAGAGCGACGGCCACCCCTATCGGTCACCCTGGTCCCCGCTGTCACCGCCCTGCTCCCGGCCTCCGCCCACGCCGCTGGGTGGCCCCGGTGACGCCCGGGTCGGTACCTTGCGGACCCCCTTGTAGATATAGAAGTAGAGCTCCCGGCCCACATTGAAGCAGAGGCGGTCGCCGTTGCCAGACTGGTCGTTGAGGTTTACGAAGGAGACGCGGACAGGGTTGGATCCCTGCGAGTTGAAGGGCACCCGGTTGGGCCGGCTGTACTCCGAGTGCGGCAGCAGCTTGTACAGACCTTCCCGGGTGGTGAATTGGGTCTTAATCTCGTTCATCTCCTTCCCTCCTCCCTCCGTCGCCATCTTGGAAAGCAGCGTTCATCCTGCCCTAAGTGCCCGGATCACGCCCACCGCGCAGGCGCCGTCCCGGGCTCTCGCTCTCCCCCCGCCTCTTCCCCCTGGCCCCTCCCACTCGTGAGCCGGCCCAGCAGAGGCTGGCCGAGGGGAAGGGGCGGGCTTGTTTACGGCTTGAATGCGCAGGCGTGCTCACCTGGCGCGTTCCTCGCCGCGGGGCATCCGCAGGCTCCTCCTCTGGGCGCGGCCTGCGGCTACCCTGCGGCGGCGCAGGTGCGGCCGGCTCCGCCTGGGGGCGGGCTGGTCGTGTGGCTGCCTCCTCCGCCGGACGGGGACGAGCTGGTAGGGGGACGCGGTGGTCGGGAACGCTGAGGTGAACTCGGGGCGGCCTTCTCAGCTGCCTGCGGCCCTGTCCTGAGGGGCCCCAGGAGCCAGAGGAGCAAAGAAAGAGCCTCCTCTGCCGCTGCCCTCTTCGGAGTCGGCACGTGGGGTACCGTGAGCAGAGCGCGGAGACCCCGTGTTCTCCCTTCGGGAGGGTGCAGGAGCGCCCGGAGGCTGCGAGGGGCGGGTTCTCCCTCCCCTGGGGCCTCCCCTCGGCCACCCGGCACGACCGTCTGGATCCCCTCTGCACCTCCATAGGTCAGTTTCTGAAAAGGTACCGCAACACCTTAGTTTTCCGCTTCACCATTTTTTTTAGGCGGGGTGGAGGGAGAGGAATAGAGTATATACACACACACACAGAGGATATGTGTTTTCAGGTTAAATATCTGAACACCTATTATAGTGAGCATTGGCTAGTTTTAAGGAAAGTAGGTTGTGTGAGCACTTCTTAAATTTGCCTTCACCAGGTGTTTAGAGAAAAGGGGGAGGGGACGAGAATGGCTTTGGGAACCGGAGACTGAATCTAAGCAGGATTCACTTCTCTTGCTCAGTCTTTTATTAAGAGCCCTTAATAAAATTAGAGACCATCGATTAAAAAAAAAAAGACTCAAGTGGAATCAGCGAAACTGTTTACTAGGCGTAGTTGTATGCACATACTGTGTCTAGATAAAAATATAAGGACAGGCGCACGTTGTTGAAGATTAAACAATTACCACCTTGTACCTGATTTGCTTGGCACGTTGCACTAGAATCAGAAAGGTTCTGTTGTGACAGGAACATTCTGATAGAATTCTGGGTGGGGGGGAGTGGAGGGCGAGGCATCCAACATTTGTTACACTAAGAATGAACTATTTCTTCAAGTTCAAATCATAGCTGGAGGGTCACAAAGCCTGGAGGGAGGTAAGTTCTAAAAGAAGAAGAGCCCAGATCATAAACATCTTATGTATTACAAAGCAGGTAGATGCCAGGGGAAACTCTACCAATGATGTAATAATGCATTTGCCATTAACAGCCTGTCTCCTTTGTGCGTGTTGGCAAAAAAGCAGGAGAGTCAAATCCTGCTTAATAGATCCCTAAATATTTAAATTTTTATTGTTTTGATGCTATTTGCATTTATCTAAAAGTCAAATAGATATCAGAACTTTTTAAATACCAATACCGGATGCCTTCTGTGGTCACCATGGATTTATCCCAATTTTCTATAGTGATTTAACATTGAAAATAGGTATTTATGGTGACCACCTCCGGGATAGTGACATCCTGAATCATCTAAAAATAATTCAGCTGCGTTCCCTAGTTATCAAGGAGGAAAAAGGCATAATAATACTTTCTGGAGGAAAAAATAACTCAGCAAGCGAAACTTAATACAAAAACATTTTATTAGCCCTCAACCACAACTTTCAATTACCCATAATACCTGTATACCTCAAGCATTCTATTAAAGTTGTATTCTAAATAAATTCAACATATTTGATTGTGATCACGATAATAATAGGCTGTTCACTTTGTCCCATCCAAAGCCTGTGGATAATCTGTATTCTTAATACTTTTTCTCTTGTAATTTTTTTCCTCACAGTCAAGGATTCAGTAAATAACACCTGAATTTATATAATTGGGCCTGATCTGAAGTTCACTTCTGATTTTCAGTTTCAAACCAGGCATTTCTAATTGGATTTGTGTCTCAAATTCATCATTCTCTAAACCTTATCAGTTCTCTTTCCTTTACTTCAAACTTGAACCATTATAAAATGGCTTTATGAATGATTTCCTTAATTTCACTTTTCTCTCAACTTTGCTCCTATAAACAACTTCCAAAATAATTTTCTTAAAACAATACTTTAGACATATATTCTCTTGCCCAAAAACTGTCAGTGACTCGCAATATTCATATTATTTAAGTTATACACCAAGCAACTCTTAGCCTGTTCTTAAGTATTGCATAAATTCCACATTCCAGACTGTCCTGCTGTCACCCTTAGCTCTTTCTTTTGCTTGTAAAGAGCCTTCTTTCCTTTGCTTTCCCCTTCATAGCCTGTTCCTCAAGAACTAGTTTAAGTCCCATCTTCACTAAGCCTTTCCCAAGCCGTGGATGATAAAACCATGTTTAAAACCAAGGATTCTCAATTCCCAGTTCATTGCTGGCTTCAGAGAGTGTTTGAACTCCTTGTAATTATGTTCAAAATTGTGTGTACATGTTCATTGGATCATGGGAGTTTATAGCTTTCATCAGATTTTCAAAGAGGTGTGACTACCTTCCCGCCAAATTTAAAAATTACCGCTCTAAACTTCAGTGGCACTTCTCCGAGCTTTCATTTGTCCTGTGTAATATTCTAAAACATTATCTTCTTTTAGTATTTGTCAGCATATGCTAATTGTCTTGTATTGACATTTGTCTTTTAGTATGTATATGCTGCCTTTCAACCGGAGTAGATGCACACTCAAGGACATGAGGGACTTCGTTAAAATTCTTTGTATCCTCAAATATTTATTTGAGTGCCCACATGTGCCACTCTATTCTAGCCTTTGGGACGCATCAACAAACAAAAATCCCTCAGTCATGGAGTCTGTATTACAAGAAAACAGAGGATAAATAGTAAACAAGTAAACCGACTAGCTTTTGTGCTAGGAAAAGAAGCAGAGTAAGATAAGAGGGTTGCTTGGGAGTGTGTTGAGTGGTTTGCAGTTTAAAATATGGTGGTCAAGATAAGTCTCATTGAGAAGATGGCATTTCAGCAAAGACTTGAAAGAGGTGAGGGAGTGGGCCATCGGCAGATCTGGGGAAATAGCCCACCAAGCAGAGGAAAAGCTATGGCAGAGCCCCCAGGGCAGGAGTGTGCCTACCTAGCATGTTCAAGGAACAGCAAGTCGGCCAGTGTGGCTGGAGCAGAGTGAGCCAGAACTCCATTGCAGGGTTTAAGAAACCGTTTATTTGCTGGTTTGAGGGTAGACACGGGAAGCTAGAGCGGTGGGGGTGGGNAGGGTGGGGGAGTCACTTTGGAGGCTAACTGTAGCAATCCAGGCCAAAGGCATTGGAGGCTTGAACTAGGTGTGGTGGCAGCTGAGATTGAGAGACGTTGGAGAACACTAGGCGTATTCCGAAGGTAAAGCCAGCAGGATTTACCAGCAGATTAGATGGGGCTTGTGGGAGAAATGGAGGAGTCAGAAATGACTCCAAAGTGGGCATAAGCAACTGGAGGACGGGAATGCTACTCCATTAACTGAGTTGAGAAGAGTGGAGCAGAGCAGGATTTGAAAGGAAGATCGGGAGTTCAGTTTTGAACGTGACGGTGTGAGATGTCGATTAGGCAGTTAGAGGAAATGTCCAGGAGGCAGTAGCATAATCAAGTCTGCAGAGAAGCCTGAACTGCCCACATGTGTTTGACAGGCGTTAGCCAATAGATGTGTTTAAAGCCTGGATACCATCATCAAGGGAGTGAGTGTGAACAGTGGGACAATTTAGGAGATTGGGGACAAGAGCATACCAATATTTGGCAGATTAATACATAAAGAGTATTCACTTTAGGTCAAACTTGTCATTGTTTTTCAGATTCAGAGATTAATCCATTAAGATGGTGAAAAGCATGTTTGTTCTTTAAACTTTGAGGAGAATGAGTTCGCCACAATGACATGCTAAAGAGAAACAGGCATAGGTGGGTATCTTTAGGATATTGAAAATCTTTACTGACTCACTGTGTGAAGTAACCAATCTCAGATTTCTCTTACTGGATGAGCTTGTTCTATCACTACGTTAGGATTTGGTACTTGCTTATAAGACCATATGGGCCTTGAAAACAAGCTTGGAAAACATCCCATAACACAGTGTCCTTCACACAGCACTCCTTTTGCCTCACATTTGCAGGATGGTAAAGATGACGCACCATCAGAGTTGTTCAGCTAACATGTTTTTAGATACAAATTGATCATGTACAATGCATCTCATTCCTTCTTAAATAATCATTAAGTGGATGCAGTACTTAGTATTTCACACATATCATGAAATATATGTGTTTTTTAAAGATCTCTGAAGGTCTTCAAACCCGGCACATTTCATGAGAGCCCACTATGTGGACCTCGTGCTAAGCGCTTACACGTGCTCCTTTCCATGTCCAGACTTATAAAGTAGGGACCATTATCCTCTTTTTACAAATGAGAAAGCTACGTGTCAGAGTAATGAAAGGACTTGTCTAAGTTACTCCCCTAGAGCTAGGTATTAGCAGAAACAAAATTTAAATTCAGGTCTCAAAAAGGAAACATCTTGGAGTAAAAATTTTTTTAATATTTATTTTTAAATGATACATTACCAAAAGGGGAAGAATAGAAATTCAAGTGAAGAAAATGTATTTTTTTAATAAAATTCCTTTTTTTTAAACGCAAATCTAGAAGAGACCCACAGAATGGGAGAAAATATTTGCAAATCATATGCCTGATAAGGTACTCTATGTAGAAGCTATAAAGAACTCCTACAACTCAAAAAACAAATAACCTAATTTTAAAATGGGCAAAGGATGTAAACAGACATTTGTCCAAAGAAGATACACAAATAGCCAATAAACACATGAAAAGATGCTCAACATCATTGTCATCAGAGAAATGCAAAGCAAAACCACCATGCGATGCCACTTCACACCCACTAGGACAAGTGGTGAGGATGTGGAGAAATTCCAACCCTCTTCTACTGCTCGTAGGAATGTTAAACAGTGCAGCCACTTTGGAAAATAGCCTGGCATTCCTCAGATGTTTCAACAGTTATCATATGACCCAGCAATTCCACTCCCAGGTATACACCCAAGAAAAATAAAACATGTCCACACAAAAGCTTATACATGAATGTTCACAGCAGCATTACTCATAATAGCCAGAAAGGAGAAACCACCCAAATGTCCATCACATTTGGATGAACAAATGGGGTCTGTCCACACAATGGAACATTATTCAGTCATGAAAATGAAGTACTGACACATGCTACAACATGGATAAACCGTGAAAACACCATGCCAAATTAAAGAAGGCAGACACAGAAGGTCACATGTATGATTCCATTTATATGAACTGTCAAGAATAGTCAAATCTGGGGGCGGCTCGTTAGCTCAGTTGGTTAGAGTACAGTGCTCGTAACACCAAGGTTCCTGGTTCGATCCCCACATGGGCCACTAAGCTGTGCCCTCCACTACTAGATTTAAATGACTACTTGACTTGGAGCTGATGGGTCCTGGAAAAACACACTGTTCCCCACTAAAAAAAATCTTTGGAGAAAAAAA